AATTAATAGAGACTGTTTCATCTTACTTCTAAGTAAGCATCAGAACCAAACCATAAGTCACAATTATAGGCTTTTTAATTTACTTTTAATTACTTTATTTTGAATGTTATGAAGATATATATAAACAGTAGAAAATATAATTTATAGTATCTATAGAGAAAGTTATAGATAAATCATAATCAATAGCAATGTTTATTCCAAGAAATATTGGTTTTTTTCAGAGGTGGTCGTCTTAAGGAAGTAATCATGACAAGAGACTTTACTAAAATTTAACTTTTGCAAGTTGAAAAATTTTATTCAATATTTTACGATGTTGGAGAATAGATGGCGCCACAGGATATTTTACGAGATCTTTTTACTGTGCAAGACACCTCTTGCGAGAGTATTTACTTTTTATCAAAAGCAAAACCTTCTGTTTATGGAGGCTGTAATGGCTGATTTCATTATCTTCTTTTTCATTTCTTGTTTTGTGATGAACCTTCTAAAGAACATGTGTTCTAGTGTCTGAGTGTAAAGTTCTAAACTCATAGCCACGATAATAGATTTCTAAAGTAACAATTGCTTAGAAAATACAGAACTAACTTTCAGAAGATTATTTAATCCGAAAGATCTTATTACAATTTTTTAAATTCTAGATAAATGTATAAACAGTGTTTTGAGTGAACAATTAAAAGTTCCAGTTTTTGCCTTTTTAGATAAGCACTTTAATTTATAATTTTTCGCAAATCGGTTTTATTTCATTGAAATTTAAAACTCTTGCTCTAACTGTTCCAAATGTGAATAGACAGTATTCTTTACCACTGAATGGAAATGCAATAAATTGTAAAAGCGCATTCGACTTAAATTAAATCTTGTATTAAAAATCAGGAGTGGCAACAGTGGAAAAGAATATTGGTTTGTATAGTAATGCTGAACGAATAGCATGCCGAATGAATTTTATAAAAGATGCTTTTGTAAAGAGACACTGAGAGAAGTGTAACGGAATATTTGTGTTGAAGCATATGTCAGATATGAAATTCTCTAAATTATTTGTGATATTTCTAACAAACTCCTTGAAACGCTAGATTGAATTTAATTGAAATAGGCCGAATCAAGACATTTAGAGATCCTAAGCACTTAATTTTGGTAGGCCCACGTATGTTTACGTCAGTTTTTTTATTCATTTCTTCTTTGTCTAGGCTTTGGTTTAGCTGCACCATGTATTTCATGGTAAAACGAGCAATGAGAGACATTTTAATGCCCTGTTTCCTGAATACCTAGAGGGCCTTTTGTGCTGTCCTCTCTCCTTGCTTATTAAGGAAAATCCTCTAGTTTATTCCTAATCAGGCGCTCATACTGCTTAATGTCTAAACCAGCCTTGGATTTAGCACTGAATCATCAGATGTAGAATTAGATACGGTCAATCTCACTAGATTTGGGTTTATAGATTCGCTGTGCCAGTATTATTCATGATGACGGAGATTCGCTGTGCCAGTATTATTCATGATGCATCGACTGGGATCCGAGCCTCGGCCACCCCCCTCGCGACAAGCGAACACTTTACCAATAGCTAAAACTTAAGCAGCTCTTTTGCGAAAAGGATTGTTCCAGGATATTTCTACAGAACCGAAATAGGGCAAATCATTTGACTCTATTACTCATAAAAATGTTACGGAAAAAATAATTAAAGAAAAAGGTATTTTAAAATGTTCTTTTAAAAGGTTAACAGAATACTACATCACCGTTATTCCATAAATAAAATTGAAACGAGGTAGTATATATGTAACATGTAAAGAAAGTGCACTGGAAAATTAAAAATATCTTCATTAATCCTCACCCTTAAAAAATAATCGAGCTTTAAAAAAATTGTCCCAAAGGAAATTTTCTTTATGTAAATCATTTTATTAGCTTTCATTTGCTTTAATACTGTAAATTGCTATTCTTTTTGCACCAAACGACCAATGGCACTTTTTATTTGAAAATTAGAGTGGTTTGGGAGCGAGTTTGAGAAGTTACAGTTCACTTTAATCTAACTTCTATCTATATATAAAAGGAAGGGTCTGTCAGTGTGTGTGTCTTTCGTTCGTGCTGCGCGTAAGTTAATAGACCCAGGGTTAAGAAATTTGATACCTAGGGCTAGACATGAGCCAGTACATCTCGAAGAGATGTTTTTCAAAATTCGAATGAGATTTTTTTATTTTGTGTTTTTTGATGAAATCGCATCAAATCCATAATTCTCTCTCATTATATCAGGTACAATGGTACGCGGGTATTGTTCCTGATATCAGCACTGTTGCCATTCAGAAAAATGAGGGCGATAATTCTCTGCAGATTTAATGTTTCTCTTGGATACTGGACGTTTGTCGAGGGAAGGCAACGGGAATATTATGATAGTTTTATATTATGTTTTAATTATATATAAAAAGTTTTGCATGATTTTCTTTTTAAGAAACAACGTTCTTAACTTCTTTTATACTTTTTGAGTTCTTAAGATTTCGCAATGGGAAGTTGGTGCTAATTACTTCTTTTAGTAAGGGATATTGCTTATTTTATTGTAATATTTTTATATGTAACATATTTTTATTGATTTTTTACCTCCTTGTACGAAGTAAAAAGAAAGTATTGTAATATTTTTATATGTAACATATTTTTATTGATTTTTTACCTCCTTGTACGAAGTAAAAAGAAAGTATTGTAACGCGAAGTTCAGGCAGCATATTTCAACGAAAATATCACTTTGCCGCTTTTCGAATGCAAAACGATGTTTTGCGTGATCTGTACGTAAGGACGACTAAAAGACTTTCCTCCAAAAAATTATCAACTGCTTTAAAATGAATTCTGAGAGAATTTTTCGTTGCGTCTGTACAACGTATGTACGTACGTACTATCTCGCATCACTCAAAAACGAGTAGCCTCAGAACGTTGAAATTTTGTATATGAGTACTATAAATTTAGATGTTGCACCTCGTATTTTGTCAATTGGCCGCGCCAACAAAATATATAAAATATCCACTCTGTTACCCGGCTCAGTGATCTCAGTTTCTTACACTTTATGTTGTAAATTGTACTTTTTTTTTCTTAAAATATTGAATATGTGTTTATCTCTTCCGGTTAAGGGTTTTAATGCTTTAGTAATCTGTAGCATACTTTAGAATATCACAATTTAAAAGTGTTAAGTCCGCTAAGCCTTTTAATGGCGCCATTGCTGTTACATTGAAACAGCTGAGTAGTGAATTTTTGCCAATCTAGAACGTAGCTTCGCGCACAACAAATAAACGCCTCATTTTTATGCGATTAAATCTGCTAATCCTTTCTGGATTTTTCGAGGAAAAGTGTAAGATTTACTTAATTTTAATATTCGTCCTTTTTGTATAGATATTTTGAGTTTTTCTGCATTTTGCTTGTCGCAAGTGTGAACGAATTAATGAATGCTAATCCTCATCGTCTGTGAAAAACTGGTCTTTTTTGTTTGTTTCTTAATTTCTTTATACGAGTTCTAGCTTTATATATATTTGAATAAACGTGACACTATTAGAAATTCTTTAAGATACATTTTGTGCGTTCTGATTATAATATAAATGAAATATAATACTGTACGTGAACCTAGCCCAGGTGTCGCTATGGTAAACAATTAATTTTAAAGATGCATTTATTATTGTGGTGATGCGCTGTCGCGAAGTAATTTTATTCATCCATAAGTTTAATAAAATGCAAGAAAAATGCGTATAATTTATATTCCGTACAAGAAGTCAGTGTGTACCATCAGATTTTTAAATTCATTTTTATGAAACAATAAGTATCAAACTATTTCACACTTTGCAGTTGCGCAAAGCTAGCAAGGCGTTTAAAGCGAGCTTATATGGCGGGGTTGGTGTGTATTAATATGGCACAGCACATAGGGCTATCTGCCTAGAGGAGGGATGCCTTTCGGAGGATTTCTAAGGAAACTGCTCGAGACACGTTACACATGGGAAAACCACGAAAACACCCATGCAGCCAACACGTTCGCGGGATTCGAACCTCGGACCGAACTACCAGTGTTCAGCGACTTTACCGCTCGGCCGCTGGTGGGCCACGCGAAGCTTTATAAAAAATATAAGAAGAACTATTGAAGTCTTTTGTCAGTCTACCGACTTCAAATAAGTGTGGGAGTAGCAAGCATTAAACTGGTATTTCAGTAAGAAAGGAATAATACGTTAGATGTGGAAAGCATTTAGCTATGGAAAAGAGGGCTTACGGTAGTAGTTTATAATATTTTATGAAGCCTGAAGCTGAAATAATGAGATTTCACCTTTTAATTGAAATTTATATCAAGAAAAGAACACATAAATCTTCAAAAATGAACTTTTGAAGGTTTAAACAGAAATTTTCAAAAAAAAAAAAAAAAAAAAAAAAATGCTTCAAGCTCCTTTTTTCTGTTTTAAGGAAGGAATCGAATTAAGGCAGGTTTTAGGAGGCACTGATCTTGGAAAGTCTAAGAATCAGGCTTACAAATTTGAGCCTTTTAATTGAAATGCATGAAGTTTAAATTTTTAGGTGTAAAATTAAAATTTCAAATTAATATATTTCATAGTTGATTTAGTTAAAAGCATCATCAAAACAATCCCAGTATAGTTATAAAAATCAAAAATTTCAAGGATTTTTTTTTTTTTTCTTAAAGAAATGAGAAAACTATACGGTTCGGTTAGTAATTCCCATTTACAGAACTTCTAAATTTCAAATTAATTTATCTAATAAAATTTCCTTTTTACAGAGCCATTTTTAAAGATATTTAATGAAATGCGGAATACTTTAATAATTAGAAGTTTTCTCTAAAAACAGTTTAAAATTTTTTTAAATTTTAATTTTTGAAAACGTTTCCAAAAATTTGTCAGTATGGTCAAAATTTTTGCAGTCTTAAAAATCCATCTACTTTTGAATTACCTACTTTATTTGAATCGTTCCTTAAAGTATAATGATAAGTATATAATTATCGTGACTTGTTCATATTATATCTGAAAGTCAATATTTGAGGTACTTACAGAGGACTTCTAGGCTTGTAGTTCCAGTGTCGCGACCTGCAGCATTAGCAACGGTGCAGCTGTAATTTCCTGTGTGTTGTTCTTGCACATCCTCCACCATCAATGACGTTGAGTACTCATTCAGTTTTTTAATTCCGATTTCTGTTGGACTTGGAGGATCCTCCCTTGCTTCGATGTTTACTCCATCCTTCGACCAGGTAAAGGTAAGAGGTGGAGATCCATCGCTCGTACTGCATGTCACGTGATACCTCTCTCCTTTTCGCAACTGAGCACTTCTAGTAAGGGGCATCAGTTTTGGAGGCACTGAAAAAAGGAAATGATGTTATTTTACTAATGTAAGTAATGAACGTCACACAGAAATTTTTGTAGGGATAAATAAACTTGCTTTTGTAATCACGAAACTTACGCTTCTGAAATAATAATTATGTTTCTAGTCATAGTATAATATTACTTTATTTATTGTTATTATTTTCCCACATACCTACAGCTATGTAGTATTTACCTTTGTGTAAAAATCCACCAATAAGAAGTAACTTATTAACAAATATTAGTCATTATAATTATAAGCTGCGATTGTAACAAATTCTTGCAATGTTAGGTTAGAATACTTTTAGCAAAAATAAACGATTGTGCACAGTTTCTGGCATTAATAGCATAGAAACAAATGCTAATATATGACAGAAAAGAAAGTTTTAAAGCAGAAAAGCAAATGCATAAAAATTAGATGTTCAACTATGTTTGCTTAAATTTATTAGCAGTTGGGAATATTCTAACTTAACTTTTCTTTCTTTAATGACCCGGTGCTTTACTTAATAGCCATTATAGCCTTGCCCCACTACAAGGTCCGGAAGGGGGTGGCCATTTCATGATGGGAGCACATGATAGATGGCCGCCGTTGCCTCCTATTAAGGGACAGACCATACCTTCCCCAAGATTCGAACCCGGGATCATTGGTACTGCAGTCAGGGTCATTAGCCACTACTGGCTGGGCTGCATTATAATTTAACTTGAATGTATAAAACAACAAGCAAAAATAGTCATGTAAATGTTATTTCCTAATTCTATATCTTAGATCTTTTTATAATACTAAATATTTGATATTTTATTTACCAGTAACTATTTTTCTTTACTATCGTAAGAATCTTTTCCTTGGAAATTAATTTATTCGTCTTCCAAAGTAATCATTTTCAACCAACTAAATAAGTAAAAAAATAACTTTGGACATTAAAGAGACTGCTGAAATTCTGAGGAAACGTTGCTTACAGTATTGATTAATTAAAAATTTAAAATAGTATATAATTTATTTTCTCTTCGTTTTCCGCATTCCTTCGTAGTGTAATTGGAAACACGCTCAACATGTATTCGAGAGGCTCGGAGTTCTTATCCCGAGGAGGGCATTGTGGGTTCCTTCAGTTTCCTGAATCCAAGACTCTACAAATGGCTCTTGAACTATAAGATTATGAACGATAATTCGTCACCACCGGAATTCGGCGACAGGGTCACTTTTCAAAAGGGAGAATATATAAGATGTTTTCTCCCTTCTTTTCGCTTGCATTCGTGCTGTAACTGAAAACACGTTCGACGTATATTCGGGAGGTACGGAGTTCGATCTCGGTCAGAGAATTGTAGATTTCTTCAGTTTTATAACATCGGAAATTTCTAAGATTCTACAAGTATGGCCAGAATGACTCTCTCTGGTCATACCGTGTTAAATCTGTAACTCACTTTTCTGGACTATTTCTGTGAGATATATTTAAATAGATAACATAGAAATTTTCCAAATCAGTGAATTAAGGAAGCAATAATAAATATTTTAGGAACAAAAGCAGATATTTGACGCTGATGAGTATCAGTTTTAGTTTGGGCATATGATATTAGCGGACGTAGATTCTAGAGATACAATCTTGTGAAATGCTATTTCGATATCAAATTTAAGTACAAAATTTGTAACGTTATAAGAACACAGCTTCTACTACTACGTTGAATTTTCTGAGTAAATGTAGTCGTAAAATGTACTTTATAGTTTCGATTTGTTGCGAGTGGTAAAACTAATTGTATTCTGAAAGACTTGTTATTCTGATGCGTTTTTCAACATGTTTTTTCTGAATTTAAAGTAGTTGTGCATAGTTTGTGTAAAAGGTTCTTGGTGAGTAAATATTCTGACTAACCATTAATAATAATTAAAAACTTGATAAAGTATTAATAATCATTCAACTATTGTTCAGTTCCTTGTAGAGACATTGGGTATTTTTTGAAAGCAGGCAAGATGAAAAATGAGCAACGCCTTTGCCGGGAATCGAATTGCGGACCTCTGGAATACGCGCACAGCGTGCAGACCACCCCACCACGAAGGCATGTCAAGAAGGAGGGAGAAATATCTTATATCCTCATACCTAAAATTTAAGAAATATTTTTAAAGTATATGATATTTAATAGTGCCATAGTTTTTGAGAAAATAACATATACACATCAAAGTTAAATGTATATATGTGATCTTTGTAATTAAATTGTTTATCCTTTATTTCTACCTTCGAAAAGCTCAATTTGTTTACATTTAAATGGCCCCCCAGAAACACTAAAAGATGCAAATTAGTAAACCTTGCATTTTCAAATATGGGAATTTTGCCGTAAAGAATGATAGCATAAATTTAATATTTTAAAGTGGAATTGACTTTAAATTAAACGTAAAAGCTAAACTAATATTATAAGATTTTTTAAATGAAATTCATTTTATTAGCATTACTTTTAACATTATTTATGTGAAATATTATTTATTTCTGTCGTCGGGGCTATTTATGTCATCACTGATACCAATCTACCAGAATTACAAATCTGTATTTTTGTTATTTTTACGCATTTGTTAAGTTTTCTTTGATATTTTAAACTACGCTAAGTGAGAGAAAATCGTATTCTATGATACGTATGTAAAAGAATTGTTACTCAGATGACATAAGTCAGTACTTCTTCGAGCCAAATTAGTATCAGGAGTTCCTTTTATAAAACCTATTTACGAATACGAATCAGGTTCTGTTTCAAAGTCCTCCACGAAGGCATCTATGCCCTTACGCAGACAACCCTGGTGTGTTTTACCATATTCAGGTAACTTCATCTAACCTTATAACAAGAATTTGGCAGATTTGTGACTTTGGTGTAGTATCACTGTATTTTTTATTTGTTTTAATTTTAAAAAAATTTAATTTATTTTAATTAAATCTAGCTAAATCATTCTTTTCTTATATTATAATAATAAAAAATTAGTTAATGATAAATAATAATTCATAATTCAGTCTGATAAGAAACGTCATTGCACATTACTAAAAACTGACAAGAAGTACTTGAATTTGTCATAGCAGCTTTAGTTTGCTGACATAACAAAAAATCAAATATTTTAATACAAAAATTTGAATTAAAAAGGAAACTTAGCCTTTATAAATGAAAATATAGCATGTTTTAAAAACTGTAGATGGAAATATACATAAAGGTTATATGTTGCAATGTTTCTTCCCATAAATGAAAGGATGGAAACATCTAATTTGAAAACGCACGAGTTAATAAATGACACTTAACTTACGACACAGAAACAGACGATTAATTTTTTATAAAGGCGATGATTTAGACCGGAAATTAAACCCGGAACTTGCCAGTCTGCGGACGATAGGCACTTGACCTATGACCTCAGAGATGTTGAAGGCGCGTCTTAATTTCTACTCGATTCGAAATGGCTAGACTCCCTTCTAAATTAGGCACACAGGAAGTATTACGTTGAATGCTATAGTTTAGTTAACCTCTCAGATAGAAGCTGTTATACAAAAGCAAAAATTTAGCGTATTCAACATATCTCAGAATTGTTATATTACATCATTACACTTTTACTAAAGAAAATGTAAATAACTGAGAAATTGCGCAGTTCATCGTATCTTAGTTTAAAGGAAGTTTATGAAGAGAGGAATTAAATTTATCATGAATTAGAAATGATAAAAACTCTCTGCATGAAATGGAAACAATATTAATACAAAAATTAAAGGATTAACTTGGAACTTCTGAAGAGCGTCAATGGATTATGAACTTAATAAGAATTTGAATCATTAATAAGAATTGTGGCCATGATAGCTTACTGAGTACTTTTGATGTGGTATCAAAATTTCTGCGCATGTCGAATAATTTAAATTATTTAGATATTTCTATAAAAATAAACAATATAGACACACATATAATTACTTAAGGAAGTAGAATAAATTTAAGCAAGATTTGTCTAAGACTAAATTATGCTTAATGAATTTCGATATAGTTGAGGATTTCATAATACTGCTAATAAAATTTCCATTTAAGAGACTGTTTCCTAAACTGAGTTGCAATATTGCATTTAGTCTGATTGATGTTAAATAAATTTAGTTAACCGAATTTAATCGAATCGTTAATCGAATTTTTAAAATGCTAGTTTTCTTAATAAAATAAGCAGAACAAACACAATTTGTAAACAGCCATACCGACTAACGCCTTAAGAAATAAAATGAAAATACAAGTAAATTTTGGAGTTTTTTTAGGACTGTAATTTGCTTAAATATTGAAATTTAAGTGTTTATTTCAAATAGTAATAGACTGGCCATCTTGTATTTACATACATATGATATAAAAATTGATATTTTATTCACTATTATATCATGATTTCAAAATTTTCCAAGAATCGAAAATAAATCAAAATTTCTGGTGATAAGCAATTATTATTATTATTATTATTATTTTTAATATGCCATTAATCTGTTACGTTTAAAAGAATGCTTTTCTCAGATTGGGAATTAACGTCATTACTTTTCCTGTAATAGTGGTGTTTTTGCAAGGTATAAAGTCACGCAGAGAAACAACATTTACAATCTGCAGGCGAAATCACTAGACTTCACTTGCAAATTTCGATACTCTTCTGTTATCAGAAAGGATTCCGAAATATATGTAACACATACATACGCATACACATCTATGTGCATACGTCATATACGTATGCACATATATACATGCATACAAACATACATTTCTGAATCCGGTTCCGATAACAGATTACCCAAATTTCTTTTTCTGACAAATATTTTAAACATTTGTTTTCTCATTGAAACCATAACATTATTAATAATATACATTTATTTATATTGTATATACGCAATGTGATTGAGGTACATGTACAAATGCTTTTAGATTGCTTTAAGATTGCTTATAAAATAATTTAACTATATTAATATATGAAAAAAATTTCAAAAAAATTTAATTTTGTGAAATCTTGCCTTCAACAAACGAAGTGAAGCAGTTTTAACACTCATGAAAACGACGCGTTTATTATTTTACGTTTATTTTATTTCCACGCTACATCATCTTTAAAAAAATGAACATTTTCTTTAGTATAAATACATTTTCATTCATACTTAAATTTTCGGAATAATTTATAAACAATATAAAATTAAATTAATAGCAATACAGATATAAAACTTACAAGTAGTTAAAATTAAACTATATGTATTTGGGTTAATTATATTTGAAAATTTCATGCCTTGCTGTTTTCTTCTGATTTACTACAAAGATTATTTTATGAACTTATTAATTGACTTTTGAACCTTTACTTACCTAGAGATACCATAGAAGCTAAAGCACCCATTGCCACATAGAAAATTATCCCCACACCAGACAACAGCCACACACATTGATGATGCATTTTGGAGAAGAAATTTCACACAGTTTGGCAAAAGCACTTCGTATCACTAGACGTGATACGTTTCATAAACGTAACCATGCATTTTTCGAGTATTATTTCACTTTTGGGTTCCATTTTACAATATTATCCTCCAGGTACTTTTTGTATTCCGGCGATACTATGAGTCACCATGGTTGTTCGATTTTTAGACTCATCCTTCTACCCCTGCGCTGAAATGGACAGGAATCGTTTCCCTGCCAAGGTTGAAAGTACGCCAGCTTTGGCGTCTGTATCTCTGTCCAATGAACTTCACTGTTACATCTGTAGCATTCAAAATACGCTAAGCATTTGAGAATAGGTCGCTCGTGTATTAAAAAAAATCGGTTAATTGGGTTATTTGATTTCAGTAGAAGTATTTGTTTATTCTAAAGTAATTTTAATGCATTTGCTTACTTTAAAGATTGCGTTACATTAAATAATACATTAAAAATTATATTTAAATAAATAAATAATATTTATTATTTTAATTTACTTATTTGCTTTAATTTAGTAAGTTCTCTCGTTTATCGTATTTTATTTAAACAAACATTATACAGTGAAACAAATAAAAAACAAAACACATAATCTATTTTTTCGACAAAATTAATAAATTTCTTTCTTGCCAAAGCATAAAATCCACTTTCGTTCCAATTATAAAAAAAAAACACTAAATTATTTTTTATATTTCATCGTCCTAAATCTAAACATTTAATCTTGTTTCTATCTTTGTTGGACTAAATTTATATAAAAGAAATAATTTTTTATTTCCTTAACGCAAACGCGTAACTTATTTTAATTCATATAAGAGATAATTTTCTAAGATAAAGATAATTTTCTTTTTATTGATACAAATTAGTAAAATAATTCAACTAATAGTATAATGTGTAGTATACAGTCATAATCTGAATGAAAAAATTCTAGAAATGTTGTCTGTTTAGTGGCACGCTTTGATCTAAATTTAATAGCTTCCGCGAATGTACTTCTTATCATTTTATCTTTTTAAATTGTTTAAATAAGCTAAATATTAAAAAGAAATTATGCAAAATGTTTTATTTTACGTAGCTGAAGGAAGGGAAAAAAACAAGCGATCCGAATAATACAGTTCTGGGCATCTGATATCCAGATAGTACTATCTGGAGCTCTCACTTCTTAGGCTAAAAGTAAATCTGTAGTTGCTGAATATAGGAAGAAAAAGAATTGTTTCGTAACTAAAAGAGAGGTAAAAAGGCGAATTATTATCTTAAAGTGAACGGAACAATAAGAACCGTATATGGATATTGATATTAATACTGAATCATATAAATGCGACAAATTTGAAACTACGTTAGTCAAGTTTGACTCGATTTAGAAAGTATAAGGTGTTCTTGATTTAGATTTAGAAACATTTCGGTTGATATTTCGTAGTTTAATTTCATAAACTAAATCTAACTCAGATAATTTGACACGGGTATTATTGTTAGGCAACGCGCAAACAGTTGCTCTATATCTAAGTACAGCACTAGAAACATATTTCACTAACTATATAAGGTATTTCTCCCACCTTCTTGGGGTGCTTTCGTGGTGTGGTGGTCTGCACGCTGGGTGCGTGCAGTTCGGATTCCCGGTGAAGGCGTTGCTCATTTTTCATCTCTTCTGATTCCAAAAAATACCTAATGCCTCTACAGTGGGCGCCCGAACTAAAAGGGTGCTGGATGATGATTCTCCTCACCCAGCATTTGGCGATTAGGTTCCCTATAAACACCAATCACCCTTTAAAAGGGGGACTATATAAGATATTTCTTCCGCCTTCTTGGCGTGCCTTCGTGGTGTGGTGGTCTGCACACTGGTCGCGTATTCCAGAGGTCCGCGGTCCGATTCCCGAAGAAGGCGTTGCTAATTTTTCATCTCTTCAGCTTCCAAAAAAATACTTAATGTCTCTACAACTACACTAATTTGAAATGATCGCAAAAATTATCACTTAGTCATATGAATTACGTGAAAAAATTAATTGTATCGGGTACCGATACAGTTAAACGAGAACATTATTGCATGGAATATAATTAGAGATATTGTGATCTGCGTAATCGCAATAGTCTCTAATCACGTGAATTATAAGGCATGGGAGCATTCTAACTTCTTCAAAAAAATAAACTTTTAAAAACAGATCTTCAGTTAGCAGTTTATATCGATGATGCTTCTTTTTGACTTAAACATTGCAGCCATCTTATAAGAAATTTATTGTTAGAAAAATATTCCCAATTTGTATAATTGAGTATGTATCATTTTAAGCCCCTTTTTCATAACTTAGTGAATTTAATGTTACCAATAATTTAAAATTAAAAAATTCTTGCCTATCTATTTCCATTTTAAAATGCGTAACTCGTCTGATATGCAAAGTAAAAATAAACAGGTAAATGTAAAAGACACAAATCATTTTGTAATAGAATTTTCTATTGTTTTGAACTTTCTTAAAAATACCCATTAGCTTAGTTTCAGTTGTTCCCTCTATTTCCTTAATATTCTAATAGTGCTAAGATTCAGTTAATGTAGGGTCCAATTACCGAAATTACAATTCTTGAAAAAGTGACTATCCGGTATGGTTTCACACCTCTTAAATGTCAATTCCTAAAACTATTAGACAAATAAACGACTTATCTCTCCATCTTATTTCTAAAGTACATTTAGTAAAACTTCAGATGAAATTTTAAAATAAATCCTTTTATGAAGCCATCAATCTGATGGTTAAACAAAATTAATAGCAACAACAGAAAATTAAATCGCAACATCAGGAATTGAAAATAAATGCTCAAGCCAAGTTAAAATATTAAATGCAATAGATAAAATAGATAGGGAACACGTTTCTAAGTAATCTTTGGCTGAGGTATATTTTGACGAAGCAGTTACGTCTAGCGAAGCTAAATCCGACTAAGCAATTCAAATAGTAACCTTATATGGTCTTAGAGGAATCACTTAGCGACAGCTGCTAAAGGACCATTTTTTGAATTCCAGATTTCTGCTCTTGTATGCATTAACTAACCATCCTGGTGGTAGATGATGACAATAAGGCAAAAAAGTAAGATAAACCGTTAATTAACAAAACACCCTACAATGAAGAGTAATACTATTCTTTCGATATACTTAAGCCATTTTAGCTTTGCTACAAAAAAAAAAAAAAAAAAAAAAAAAAAAAAAACTAAATAATCTTTTTTGTAAGATTCTCACTAGTGCATTTCTCAGTTACTATAGAAAGTGACGAATCTTAAAAACTAGTTAGCGAATAATCGCTTAAGTTCGTGTAATAGGAAACAACAAGATGGAAGGGTAACTAACCCTCTATTATTCCAATAAGATTTAACAAAACTCCGTCTTGGGGTGTACAATAAAAGCCAATACTTGGATTTGAACTTAAGAGACTAAAAATTATACTAAAACTAAGGTAGGTAGGTAGGTGACGGAAGATGGGGACGCCTGGTGGCCAGAGATAAACAGGCATGACTAAAACTAAGATTAACTAAAGAGATATAGCCGAAGTTATCGAGATTCTATTCGAGTTGGCCCATTAACTCTATTTGATTACGAAGCTTATCATGGGCTTGAGTACGGCCGAGCGTAATAACAGTTTTGAGAGAGAGAGTAGCCAAAAGGCGGACGCGCGCAAATCAGAAACTCTGATTCTCGCTTACTCTGCAAGTAGACTTCGCGGTTTAAATACCGCTTCTCTTCATTAATTATTCAGAGTGATTCCAAAACTACGTTCTGGCCGGAAGTAGTAAGTTGAAGTTAAGAATTTAACAGGAAAGGAACTTTAACTAAAATTTTAACTGTTAATAAAATTAACATAATCTTTACAGTATCTCAGCCGAAAATTCATCATTAGTTTTCCAAAATGTTTTTTGTTTGTACATTTTTTGTATGATGAGAAACGCATTTATTCAACTTAAGTATTATTAATTGCTTTATCTTGCTCAATTTTTGTTCCAAAAGAAACTTCTAGAAATGAAATTCTTCCTTTGTTACCGTATGAAAAAGGTGAAAATATCATAATAATCATCATTATTATTATTATTATTTTCCGACTCTCAGGTAGCAATGATTTTTATGTGTTTTTCTCAAGTAAATTTCTCTTACTTGAAATATTATTTATATAATTTTGAAATGAAGAACATAAAAATTTATCAAATAAATTTGTAAGCAAAATCATTATACTGCTTTCTTGATTCAACAAAATTTTTCGTCAATGAATTTTATGCTTAGATCTAAACTCTGTTATAAACTGCGAAAAAGAGGCGTTGGATAATAAAATCGATATAGCGGTTTAAAATATCTTTTTTTGCGATTTCATTTTATAAGAATGATTAATTTGCATCCTCTGCTTCGTGAAAGATTCGTTGCACTGGAAAATACTTCGTTGTTGCTTGAAAAGCTCTGTAGCAAAATTAAGACATATTTTCTTAAAACAATCGGAAAGGGAAGAACATTTTTTCCTGGTCAGTGCATTTCAAAGATAACTGAAGCGCAAACTCATAATTTTGTGCTAAACATATATATTTAATTTCATTTCCATTTCTAAATTCGTCCTCGTAGCTTTATTTTCTGTCACATATTTTATAAGTTTTCTAATCTCGATTCGCAAGCTGTTCTAATAATATAGAAGCCTAAAAAATTACTGAACGCTTGTATGTAGTAAAAGACAAGTTATCTAGACTTCGAATATCTGGAAAACCATGACCAATTTCTACGCACCTGGTTAGCAATTTTAAGCTGTCTTTCAGGATAAAATATTTAACATTCTGAAATTTTGGGACACTAAATTTTCTGTATGATATTAAGTATCAGATGTTAGTACTGTCCATCATTATGTTTTGCTGTGAAGAGTATAACATGGATAAAATTTCAGTCATGAATTGCAGCTTAAAAATTACACTGATGTTCAAAATTAAGAGAATATTCACATTTAATCGGTTTTATCCAGACCTTATAGATAGGTTTTAGTGAAATGTGGTATGAATATAAGTTGTTATAATACAAAATATACTTTGAAACAAATGAGGAGGTATACGGATGTGATTGTGCGTAAGAATCATAGGAATGGGGAAAACTGACGTAAAAGTTACAAAACCGTACAAAACAGAACAAAACAAAGAGTTAATAAAAAAGGAATCTGAAAGGTTTCATATTTTAAATTACGTCCAAACGGGCGTTTT